GCATGTGGTATAAGAATGTCTCAATTGCAAAGAGTTCAAATTTGATGGGCCCATTTTCCTACATTGGAATCATAATGACAAATAATAATAAAAAATAAAGATTAGCATTGTCCGGAGAAAGATACGTCTTTCGCGCGGAGTAATAAAGAATTAAGGAAGCAATCGCAGGATCGATTCCATGACCAATCAATACGCTTCTCAATTAATCGAGGAGCGATGCAACGCGCGCATATCGCGTCTGGCATTGCGGCACGGTGCATCTCTCACGCGATTAAATAGCGACGGCGAGTAATTTGAGTAATGGACCAACGATTACGGCAGCATTAAGAATCGCGCAGTTAACATCCGCGTACGACCGTTACCGTACCGTTAACTTAACATATACAAAATCGCCGCTTTGCAGCTGTAAGCGAGCGCGCATTGTGCGTGTCACTCTTAAATCCCGTCGATAAATTCCTCTCGAGGAGGCACGCGCGCGCGCGCGCGCGGTCGCGGGGAGAAGACGAAGACATGACCGATTGCGTTTACGGGTCTCGGATTAGACGTCCCTAATAAATGATCCATCGATCCGGCAATGAGATATTCTTCCCCGAGAGAAACGCGAGGCGGAATGAACCGATTATTTCTACGATTGACCGTGGATTATCTTAAATAACGCCTAGGTGAGTAGTTGACGCTTATAATCGGCATTCACTCCGCGAGAATTCTCGGAGAACGAAAGCGCGCGGCCGGCGACCGCGCTGGAAAGTGCAGTGACTCGGAATGCAGAATGCAGCCAGCATCGACCGGTGGGGGGCCGCGGGGGGCGGGGGGCCCGGAATCACGTGCGTGAAAACGCGAGCGCTGCACGAAACCGCGCGTTCTCCGTGCGTTACGCTCTTCCGTCGCTAAGGAATTACCGTGCTGTTAAATCGATCCGACCTGCCGCGCTCGGATGGCGATTATTTACGATATACGTCGCACGCGACAATTCCGCCGCACGACTATTGCGGCGCGATGCACCGTTGCTTAACGGCACCGTGAGTGGCCGGCACGAAATTTCCAATCTCCGCGCGAACGCGCGTTCCTCGCGCGATGCCGATCTCTCGACGATCCTTCGATCGTAACTCCTTCCGCGAGATACGAAGTACCCTGCAAGGGTACTTGAGAAAAATTCCGTTTAAGAAAATCGACGTCGATCGAAATCGACGAGAAGGCAAAGCCCGGTACTCGCGCTGGTAAGTCGAGGTCTGTCGGGTCCGTTTTTTAAATTTCGCAGAAAGGAATGCGGGGACCAGGTACGTTCTCTACATTTAAATTGCTTTCTTAATTGCGCGCGCTGTACGGAGTTCGCCGTGTTCCCTTGGCCGGGTTTCTTCGCTTTTACTCGAGTGATGCAAAAGGTAATGGATGTGGAACGGAACGGCAGGCGGTAGCCTCCGCTCTCGTCGTCGTTGTCGTCGTTGTCGCCGTCCGTCCCCCGTCATCGTCATCTCGTCTCGCTTCCTTTTCCCTCGAGTTTTATTTGCTCCTTGGGACAACATCTGTCTTATGCCTCGGCGTTACACCGCCACGTTACGCTGCTGCAGGCCGTACATAACGCCGCCCGACGCGACGCCGAGTCGGACTTTATGGCGCAAGGTGCAACGCCAGAGACAGAGAGAGAAAGAAAGAGGGAAAGGGAGAAACAGAGAAATAAAGAAAGAGAAGAGAGAGAACTTCGGAGAATCATCCGGAGAAAAAGGACTTGGACGGAGGCGATCGGAAAATACCGGGTGTCCGAGGAGGCCACGTCTTACCGTCCGACAATTCAAAAGCATAAAGAGATCTCGGAATTTACGGGAGTCAAAGTAAAATGCCTACGTAGTATATTTGGGTGGTACTCGGATGCGCAGCTCGAAAAATCAGATAACACGTGAGTCTGGTGCGATCCTAGATATACATATTCACGTATCTAAGAATGCAAGATTCTTTGATACCACATCAGTCTCTTAAAGTTGCAAGTGTGCTACTTTAAAATTATTGTATTATAGTGTCTTTAAAAATTCTGTCTATTTTATTAAATCTTCATAGAATACAAAATACGAAAAGCTAATCACTAATGTATTGATCCTTGATTTTGAAAACGTGAATACTCTAAGTAGAAGAATTATTTAAAATGTTTCAAATCTTAAAATTTAAGGTCCTGGGAACTACATATGAAAGCTTGTCAAATATAAAAATCTACAAACGCAGAACTGAAGAACGACGAAGAATACGTGTAGGTACCGGTAATCAAAACGACATCTTCTTCGCGGTATTCTAACGTTCTTTACGACGAGAAACGTATGAGGTAATATACGAGGGAGACGTCGTAGAAAAAGAAGGCGTCGTAATTAATTCTCGATCTTTTAATGGCTCCCCCCCGTAATTATCGCGTACAGGCAATTCCTAAATCAACTCCTTGCGGACAGCCAAGATCCGTCGGGAGGCAGTACATTCTGGAGGTTTAGAAAAGCCGCCGGGAACCTGTTCTCGTTTTGCCGAAAGAAGGGCTCCGACTGTTTCCCGCCACGCTTTACGTATTTACATATTTACATAGACGTACACGTCTGGTCCCCTCGTGCGGCAGTATTCTCGTACCGCGCCCGAAGCGGAACTGTCTGGCACCGAAAATATGCCCGCGCGATGCACGCGTGGCTTTCGTAATTATTAACGCTTCTCGAGCATGGACATTTATGTATAGGGAAAACGAAAAGAATCTTTAATAACGGGAACATTTGTACCAATTAAATTCTATCTAATTGTGCGGATACGGGTAATGCTCCATCACATTACCGTTAAGTTGTTATACGCGTATTTACTCCACAGAGAGTAAAATGTGAAGTTATTTTCACGTTCCCACGGAATCCGACAAAAAGGTAAATGTCACAAGATCGAATTTCCAAGTGATCACGTAATAGAGATTTCCGGCGCGTTTGAGAATTATCGGCTCATTGGAACCTAATTGGAGCCGTCGGTTGGGGAATTATCGGCTCGTCTCCCTTGGCCCCGGAGGGTCAACGCACTCCATGCATTCGCGTTGTCTTAAAAATCTCCATTACGCGAGGGAGTTCAAGATCAATGTTAAACAGATGCGAAGAAGTATCAGAGCGAGAAGCGAAGCGCGATTCACGGCGGCGTGACGCTGCGACCGCGACCTGTTGAAGAAAGGAAGAAGATATCGCGAGGAAGAAGGTGCCTGATCCTTTCCATCTTGTTACGACGAAGTGACGCTCCAAAAAATCGAGAACCGAGTAACAATCGACGGAAATTTGCATCTTCTTCGCGTATCCGAGTGCTGTTACTCGAATAACGATAAGCTCGAAGATAATTAATCAAATCTAAATGCTTTAGCATATATACTAATGTAGGTGGTGTATCTTAGATTGTAATTCCGAATCTTTATAGAGAACATTATAATATTTAAATACAAATTAGTAAACCGTCTGATGTTTCACGTGATTGCTAAGTGTCGGTGAGTGTTCTCAGTTGGCATCTTTCTCTCTTAACTTTGAAAAGTTATACGGCAATTGTGTCTAACTATAGCACTGACGTACATTCAAAGAAACACTGCTTTAACTAGTGAATGATAATGTGTAGTTCTTTCCTGAAAACGTTCTTTTCTTAGTTCCGTTTTATTCGTAGATGTGTTTATTATGTAATACGTAAGTGTGAAGTTTCACGTCTCCCCAAAATGTGCCAAGTAGACCTCTCATTTCATCCTTCGCTACATTTTTTGTTCTATTAACTTATCAATTATTTATTTCAATTGTTATTTATCTCTATCGTTCAATCATAATATAATTATTCCGCGATTATTTTTCGAATTAATCAGACTTTGTTTTCGATTTTTTACGACCGATTGGAAATCAGTTTTTAAAACATTTTGCATAAACGTACAAACATTGCATCAATCCAATGCATGCG